TTATTTAAAATTTGTCTTTTAAGAAATTCTCATTTATTTAGTTACTTTTTATTTATTCTTGTTTTACAGACTTCTGATTTTTAATTTTCATTATTAATTAATAAATATTTTATTTTTATTGCAAATAAATATAATTTAATGTTAAAAATTGCAAATATTTAATTGATACATAAATTTTTAAAAATACTCCCAATTATTTTAATATATTAAATTGAAATTATGACTATAATTTATCATTTACTTATTTTTTTTTTTTTTTTAGAAAACTAGCAACAGTTCTTGTTCAACGTGGGAAATTATTAAATAATAGTATTCTTGTAGCTGGTACTGCCTGGGGAAAAGTACGAATAATGATGGATCATCAGAATAATGTTCTCCGAGAAGCTAACCCATCTGATGCAATTCAAATAATTGGTTGGAAAAGCTTACCACAAGCTGGACAAGAATTTTTACAAGTTTCTTGTGATGTAATAATCTTAAAGGCGATTTCTTATTTGACATTAATTATTTATTCAATTATTTAAAAAACTTATTAAAATTATTCTTATTATTGTGCAGAAACGTGCGCGAGAAGTAGTTGATTATCGAATATCTAAATCTATTGAACAAAAACAAAATGAAGATAGTATTTTTATATCATCAAAACTTGAAGAGCATAATAAGGTAAACAAAAATTATTAAATTCAATATTCTTATTATTTACTATTTAAATTATATTTTACTATTTTACCTAAAATGACACATTACTATGAGCTAATTTTGTTAAATATAATATTATATTTATAAAATATACTTTTTGAATTTATGAACAAAATTAATTTAATATATATCTAATATACATAATAAATAATTGTATTTGTGTAAGTACTAGAAGTAACAACATTTTTATATTAAACAATAATAATTCTATATATTAATATTGAGTGAAATAAACTTTTATGACATATTAGGAATATCAAAGTCATCTTGCAGAAAAAAAGAAAGGTGGTATTTTCAGAAGAAGACGATTTAGCACATTGTATCAAGAAAAACAATTAGAAAATAGAAAAAATGTAAAAGATGACGAAATCTGTTTAAATGTTGTGATTAAAGGTAATTCAAATTATTTTAATTTTAAAACGTTATGCTCTTATATGTTATATACTTGTTTATTATTTAGGAGATGTCATTGGATCTGTTGAGGCAATTTTAGATGTATTAGAAACTTATGAAAGTAATCAATGTAAATTAGATATCATTCATTATGGTGTAGGTAACGTATGTGTTACTGATATTGAGTATGCTGATGCTTTCAAAGGTAAATATAATTACTGCAGTTTAATTATACAATAGAAAGATTTTTTTCAATTAAAAATATAAATTTGTACTAAGACAACATATCACCCATATTTTATTAAACCTATTTTACAATATATAAATTATATTGTAAATTTATGTTTGTCAAAAATTATAATTAATATTTATTAATAATTTATATTTAATAGATTTGTTATTTTTAATATTATTCTCTATTTTAAATAACTTTGGTGTAAATCATTATTTATCATAGTATGTATATGAGTAACAAAACTTGCCAATCGCTGTAGCTAATTATAGTGGTCAGACCATTGTAGGAGCTGCAAAGTTTTACTACGCTTTTTTGGAATTTTCTGTGTTTTCTTGTTAGCTTATTTTTATTTAAATGAAAGAAAACTTATAAAACTTGTTTTAAAATATAAAAAAATAATATTTTTCAATTATTTAAAATGTAATAATAGCTCAATTTTGGGATTAACTTACTTTAATATTAAAAATAATAAAATTGTGACATTATTAACAGTTAATATGTTAATATCAATTGTAAATTTCTGTGTAATGTTGCGTCTGCTTAATATAATAAATGTTTATCATGATAATTAATTTGTTCTGTTTTTATTTTAGCTATAGTATATGCCTTTAATGTTGGTTCATTAAAAGATGCAGAAGAAAATGCTAAACAAATTGGTATTACTATTAAACAACATAATATAATCTATAAACTTGTTGATGATATAAAAGAAGAAATGAATAATTGTTTACCTCCAGTTGAAGTTGAGGATGTACAAGGTATTTAATTGATTTATTAAAATTGTAATCTTTATAATATAGATTTTTTATACATTAGCTTATCATTGTTTTTAATATTTAAACAGGAGAAGCTAGTGTAATACAAGAATTTTTAATTAATGAAAATAAGAAAAAAATCCCAGTTGCCGGTTGTAGATGTACAAGTGGTACACTGAAAAAAGCAGCACTTTTTAAAGTTATCCGTGATAATGATACAGTTCTTTACAGAGGTATAACCACTTAACTCATGAATTTTTAAAAAGGATCAATTGAAAAAAAAAACAAAACTATTAAAACATTTTTGATTAAAAGGTAAATTATCATCCATGAGACACCTTAAAGATGAAGTATCCGCTATCAAGACAAATATGGAATGTGGTATACGGTTAGAAGATGCAAATATTAGACTAAATCCCGGTGATAAAATAGTGTGCTATACGTTGCGAGAACAACAACAAAAGATTACTTGGGAAACTGGCTTCTAAATACTTGTTTTATTACATTGACTGAAATACAAATTAAGTCTTATGACCTTTGTTTAGTTATTCATTAAAACATACATTTTTATTTTAACAATTATGTACAAAATTTATTAAATGTAAGTATAAATGTATTTATTTTACTGAGGTTATTTTTTTCAATTATAGTTTCTACAATAGTTATTTCTAAAAATCACAAAATAAATGAGGTCTTCCATACCAAAAATTATAGTATAGTATGTTGTTACAGTTTTACAAAATTTGTGACGTGTTGCAAAAGACAGCAGGCCACAATCTTGTAAGTATTTGATTTCTTCAGTAAAAAAAAAAAACTTTAAAATTGTTTTAAAAACATTTTAAAAGTTATCTATGAATTATGATCTATTGTAGTACTCAGTTCTACACACTAAACTATTTTCGTGCCAACAGTAAAGTCTTACCTCGACATGGTTTGCTTATGATTGGTAGCATTGATACAGTAAATTACCTTTAATTAATATTTGTATCGAAGTATATTGTATATAACTGTATTGGGAAGTATAAAGATAAAATGTATAAAATACCAATGAGCGCATTTTATCTATAATAAAACACAAAACATTAGTAGACAAGATACTATACTAATATTTATAATCGTGTAGTTTATAAAACGAAGGTAGATCACATTGGAAAACAGCTGTATAATATTTTGAATAGCAATTTAGTTAAATATAAATCAAATATAAGTATTTATATAATATTAACTATATTTATCAAGCATACTAATTTTTTCTATTAGGCAACATATAAAAAAATATGTATTTACTATAGATACTTAATAATGTAATGGTTATAATTTATAATTAATAATTAATTTTTCATTGATCGATCGACTTTAATTTAGAGAGGGAATACAACACTGTTTAAGATTAATAACAGTGTGTTCTAATCATTCAGATTTAATTTTGCTTAAAAGTTAATTAAAATACCTTTAAAAGCTTGATGCATTAATTTAACATAATTATTATATTCTTAGTGAAGTATTAAAATGTACAGGAAATATGACCATGAATTGTTTTCTTACGTTTTACACTCCACAAAGCTATTTATTAATAAAAAGTTTTATTCTATTTATTTTTATTTGAATATTTAAAGGCTTTGCCTTGTTGCTGCAATCAATCCTTTTTTCCCGGCTGATCTTTTCATTGAATAATAACTTAGTAAAGATTATTTTTTCTTACATCATTTTTAAAATAAGCGAATTCAGTAAGTTGCATAGTGTTGTATCCAATAATTGTTTTTTAGGCTTTTATGATTTTAATGATATATCTTTGTTCTTGTACCAAGTTTAATTTGTATTGTTATGATTTCTTTTCTGCATAGTACATACAACAAAATAATTAAAATAGATATTCTTCATTTGAATATTTGCAATACACAATGTACAAATTTAAACTTTCAGTATATATAAAAATAACTGTTAACTTTTAGATTTTTAAGTTTCAGTAATATCTTTTTGTGAGAAACCTTATATATTAGGTTTGATAATTTTAGTTATAAAAGTTTAATATTTTACACATTTTTAGGTATGAAAATACAAAATAGCTTGTAAATTTTCAAGATTTTGACAAAAAATTAAGTTTGAAAAAACACACAAATAGATCACATTGAAGTACCTATTTATTAGTATACTAAATTGATTTATAAACACAAAAAGAATTAAATTATTCTGTTATTACAGTTAAACTTAATAATATTTCATATTTGTATACTGTTATGTGAAAACTGACCTTAAGCATTATCTTTGGTCGCGCATTATTAATTATTTTCAACCAACAAAAAAATAGTTATGATTTTGCACGTTAAATATTAAAAAAAAATATTTGTGAAGAGTCACCCTTTACACCAAGGGGTATAAAAATAGATAACATCATTTTCTCAGAATATACAGACACTATAATAATAATAAAAAAAAATCGAGATTTAATATCAAATGATTATACGAATAAAAAGCATAAACAATTAAGTCATATAGATGAATCCATAGTATTATTATTTTTTGAATGTCATAATTTATCATTAATTTCAAAATTAAAATAATTTTAGCTTGGAATATGCATATTATAACAGTTTAACATACAAATATTATATACCTATATAGCCGTAGGTATTATTGAAATAGGTGAGGCAAAATTAATGCATAGTCACTATTTCCTGCTTATTTGTTTTTATTTTACAGTCACCTGTTTATAAATGAATAGAAACACTACCTACATAACTAAATAATGTAAATAATGATTTAAAAAAAAAAAAAAATTAATCGTATTCATATTTAATTAACACGAATAAACAAAATACTTCAATACTAAAATATTATTGAATGAATAATATAATAATCAAACGTACAATGATCAATGACGTAAGTATTATAAAAATGTCATTAAAACTTTGAAAACATCAATTAGATACCTACCTACTTATTACCAAAAAAAATTTTGCTATAAAATACAAAGCTAGGTATAGCAGCTATCTACTATAATTTATTCAATGGCCAGAGAACCTGTATATTACGTTACTATACATACGGAGAAATATGACTAAGTTATTTGGTAATTACTAATTATATATTTTATAAACATTATTTTAAAGTTAGACTAGACTTAATGAATTTATGCATGATTTTATTTTGTACATTATGTTTGATTTAAAATTTCGTTTGTTTTTTTTTCTTAAAACTTTTTAGTTTATTACAATTAGGATAGGTTATGTAAACTCCTTTTAATTTGTAAAAAAACGAATTGTTGATAATGACTTAGATGCCAAAAAAGCAATGGCAGTTCAACCCCCCCCCCCCTTGTGCGTGGGTCTACCTGAGCATTATTTTTACTGAGGATTATGTAAATATGCATCTTGTTTCATTTCATAGGTTATTTTGTTTAATTCGAATAACATAAATATTCAATCAGTAAAAATTAATTAGACATTAGGTATTGAACAAGTGGGTATAAACCATTACAATTAAATTGTTAATTTTTTAATTTTTAGTTTTTTATTTGATTACATTGGCATTTTTGTCAAAGTGCTTGGCGTCAAACAATATTATTTTGTACTTAGACAGCGAGAACAAATTGCAAGGGGAACATGGAAGTAATTTTAAAATATTTTAAATAATATTAAAAATTAGTTCATGTGCTTTTTATTGTATTGTTTTTATTACGGGCATATGTATTTTTTAATTTTAGAAACAACCACCGAAAAGAGCCTTAAGCTTAACTTCTATGAAGATTGTATTGATAAAGTTCTAAGTAATTGTACATCCAAGACAAAAGATAACGTATATTATTTACGTTACTTTTCACAATCAAACAAGCAAGAATGTAAGAATTTCGAGCATGTAGCACAATCGACGAACAATGTATTGCAATTTTGTATCGATATGGAGAACAGTTCTTGGTATGGTGGTGCCGAAACGACTTTTCAACATTGGCCACTGAATAAACTCAACTGGACGGATATACCATATTTGACTAGAGAATTAGGCAGCCAAGCAGTAGGTATCAAATTATAACTATTTAAATTTATTCTGTACGTAAAGCTTCTGTAAACATTAAGCCAAACTTTTAACTAGAATTTTACTATGCTTCTTTGTATGTAAGCTCAAACGAAATTGTTAAAGAATGTCTGTACTTATTAACTTTCGACTAAACTTTAAGTCAGAATTTGGCGATATTTTTTCAATTAAAAATTACTAACAATAGATACCTATATATGTTTTAACTAACTGAACAAATGATTTGTACTAAAATATAAATTTATTTTTACCTTTCACTTAATTCTTATTTATTGTTTAAAAAAAAAATGAATAAATAATTTAATGAATTTAATATTATTATAAATGCATTTTTTTCTGTTATTTTAGATTGCCGAGTCTTATTTCTTTAATTCTGATGGATTTTATATTCATATTGACGAGTCGGTTGCTCTATTTGTAGATATAAATGGTCCACGACCAGGTCAAATGTGTTTTACAGCTAAAGTTGTTGCTCCATATAGAAAAGTTAGAAACATTATGCAATACCAAATATGCAAATACAAAAACCCTCGAGAAGCACACGAAAGGGCTATTAAAGATATATTAGGTATGCCTACATCTATACCTGACCCATATATAATAAAATATCCAATTTGGTCTACATGGGCAAGATATAAAGTTGATGTTAACACGTCCTCTGTCCAAAATTTTGCTCAAGAAATAATCGATCATGGATTTCCTAGAGGTACACTTGAAATCGATGACAAATGGGAGACATGTTATGGTAGTTCAGAATTTAATACATCTAGATTTGAGAACATAACAAAACTCATTACAGACCTAAGTATATATAAAATTAATTATTATTAAGAATTGGATTAATAATTTGTTTTAACTATTAATTTATATAGGTACTACTGTACAGACGTACTGTTGTATAATTGATAGTTATTACTAATATTTCTTATAAATATATATTATACAAACTATCTGTTGTTCTTCAAAACCGAAAAAACAAGCAAATAACAGAAATAAATTAATAAATAAAAGTGGTCGGGTAAAAAGCAGTCTATTTAGTACGGTTCCAATCTTTAGTAAAAAAAAAAAAAAACCAAATAGTTTTTTATGTTAATATAATAATATATTTTATGTAATCAGTAATCACATTATACTTCACTAAAATTAAATTAAATTGACCAATGATGAAATATTAAATAAAAATTGAAAGTGCCGTGTGTTCATTTAATATCTAAACACATAAATTTTCCAAGTACATATTAAAAATACATTTTTAAGTGAACTTCCAAAACAGATTACTAAATTATTTGGCTTTTCCGTAAATAATTAAAATCATTTGTTTTGCATATTATTATTAAAAAAAAAAAAAATTTATTTGAGTTAATTTGTAATTACAAATTAAAATATTGTATTTTAATCTAAAATTATATATTTTACATTTTAACATATACATTATTATATATTGCACTAAAACTTTTATGACGAAACACTTTTTTTTTTATTAAAACCTAAATCCATATATGTTTTATACACCTCTATACATGTAAATGTATAATATAAATTTATATTATTCAATTAAATGTATTAAAAATAATTTATTTAAAATATTAATTTTAATATTGTATATATTCAAAAATATAAATCTGTTTATTTTATAGGAAATAACATTTTCCATTTATATTAATTATTAGGTACTTAGTAATATTATGTCCACATATCCTAGTTTATTCTCTGGAAGAATCTTCCTGTTTGTAACGTATTATACTTTCAAGCTGGGTATTTGTTTAATTGTTATGTGTTATACCACGTATACCTACTTACTTTATAGAATTAAATGGTTTCAAGACTTCTTTGTGGACTCATCCGTTCATAAATTTGGAATGTCCTCGTCATGATATCGCCAAAACCAAGGGATATTTTGTGAAAAGTACATCAAATAAAATAAATACTACATGGTGGAATGGAATTGGATCTTATATAGACTTCACAAATCCTGAAGCAGCTGCATGGTGGTCTAATGCTCTTCGTAATTTACTTGCAATATCTGGAATTGATACATTCAAGTTCGACGCAGGAGAAAGTAGTTGGTATGTGTTTATTAATAATTTGTTTATTTAATATTAAGATAGATTTTACGACTAGTATAATTGGATATGTAAGCTTTAAGACTAAACATTATTTAATAACTATTATAGGACTTTCAGTTTGAGTATTTCATAATAATATAATTAAACATAGATACACTTACAATGTGAAGTTTGTTTGTCACAGTATACTCATAATTTATATAAAACACTGTATTACATAAATATAATAAAATAAATATAACTACAAAATTAATTTTATATAAATGAATATAAATTTTGAACATTCTAGTATAAATTTCTTTAAAATATGTAATGGTTATTTTTTACTTTTATCAAACATCAAAAAATATTTACTAATACTGTGTTATACTTTTGTTTTATTTAGGAGTCCACAGCTTCCAATATTTCACGATAATAATCTGACTTACTATCCTGATAATATCGTAAACGCTTATCTTAAAACGATTACATCTTTTGGAAATGGTATTGAGTACAGAGTATCCAGAAGAAGTCAAAGATTCGGTCGTCTTTTAAGAATGATGGATCGTAATTCTCGATGGGATTTTCAACTTGGACTACCTACATTAATAACATGTTTGATACAGTTGAATATGATCGGATATCCGTTTGTTTTACCTGATATGATTGGTGGAAATGGCTACGATAACTTGCCACCTTCCAAAGAGATGTATATTAGATGGATGCAAGCAAATGTATTCATGCCAGTTGTACAGTTTTCATATACACCTTGGGATTTTAATCAACAGGTTAGGTTAGGTTAGATTAATGATTTAATCATTGACAAAAATAATTATTGACCAAACTGACTCAACCGTTATAAAATCTGAATCTTTTATTTTTTATAGACAGTTGATATATGCAGAAATTTAATCAATATTCGTGCTAATTATACAGACACTATTATTGAACTGATGAGAAGTAGTGTAAGTAAGGGTGCTCCGTTAAATCCTCCTGTCTGGTGGATCGACCCCACGGATCCAGTTGCACAAGTAATCGCTGATGGTAAGTACGAGTACCTAAATACATTTCAATTTTAAATAACTAGGTATATTGTTTTAGTTTTAAATAAATAATTTAACTTATAATGTACATTTTACAGAATATCTTTTAGGTGAAAATATCCTTGTTGCTCCAGTGATTGTCAAGGGTGCTAAATTCCGAGATATCTATTTACCTTCTGGGTTATGGAGAGACGAAAACCATCCGAATTCACATTTAATTACTGGTAGAAAGTGGTTACGGAATTACCCTGCCAAGCTTGATATTCTTCCATGGTTTACCAGAGTTTCACCGGGTCACCATACGTTCTAATGAATTTTTTGAAATTTTACTTTTAAATACATTTTTATTAATTTTATTTTTTGAAAGTACAAATAAAAATTGATTACAAATTTTTATTTTCTAATTATTTTGATTGTTTTAATTATATTAACTGACCTTTTACAAATTGTTTCCATTTTTTAAAATTCTTTAATATAAAAAATATTTAATATTTGAATATGGTCAATGTATATGTAGCGTGGAAAATCATATAATTCTTGAGAGGGAATTTGAAAAATGTTTTGGTTTTAATTTGATTTATAGAAAAAAAAAAATTGTTTTTCTTAAAAAAATACTGAAACTTTAGTTTTGTTTCAAAATAAAAAAAGAATAAGTTATTTTTATATTTGTTTTAATCAATATTTTGAGAATAGTTAAAACAAGATTAAAAAAATTAAACTGCTGAAATAAAGGTTCTAGTCAAAGAACTAGTACTTTTCGGTACAGTTTTAACCCCTGATGTTTGTTTAGCTTAATATTTACATTGATTGTAATATTTACTTGTAGTTATATAGTATATAGACCTCATTAAATTAACTTGATATACTTTTCGTAAGATTTAACCCAATAAATGTTATAAAATAGAAATACCAAATTTTAAAAATCAATTATACAATATATTTATTATTGTTTTTTTTTTTTTTTTACAAAAATATATTATATCCTGAAAATTCAATAAAATAATTTTAATATTTATTTAACAGTATAATGCACAATAAATATACAATTGTTGACTTATTAGTTCTGTAAATAACATCATAAGTATAAATAGGGGTAGGTTGTATATTATTAAGTTATTTACTTGTACTATATTGAGAACTTATTGGTTATTATTATTAATGCAGGTTCGTAGCCAGACCAATTTTTTTTTTTTTATGGAGGGGGGCATTATATATAAAAAACAATATTTATGCAATTTTTAATTTATTTACAGCGACATCTCATTAAATTAACACAACTGTAATTTTTCATCTAATATCCATTTATAGTAGAATATTTTGGGAATTTACAATGAAACATTTATTTTAAAAATACAAAACGAATAATACTAAAGAATAAAAATAAAACTATATTAAAGTTTACGTGAAAAATTAAATATTACACTGATTTCGCATGATTAAATTTTTATGGTAACATTTTTAGAAGGACAACGACTAGGTTTAAGGGGGGAGGGGCAATGTTCCCCCCGTGACTACGGGTTGCCATAATGATAGGTTAAAAGGAAGGCCCTTGAAATTTTGTTTATTGAAAGTGAATTCATAAAAAATATTTCTTTCGATGAAACTGTGGAGTCTTTTGCAACATTAAAATATATTATTTTATTGTAATACAAAAATATTCGTGGAGACTTGAAATTCTTGCTAATATTATATTTTAATACACGTAATTTTCAAAACATTTAAATTAATTTTGAAGTATTGGCTATTCATACAACAGACCTAATCATACTGTTCAACAGTAAATTAATATTGACTCAAAAGTTTATAACTATGCTATTATAATTTGTGATAATTAATTATATAATAAATTCGATATTTTCAAAAATTAATGTATTTTACTTAAATGTGTAATAAAATATAAAAATTATTATAATATGTGAACTGATTGCAGTTTCTGCACAGAATCGTTTTTCGTATGTAATGACTAGATAATTGAATTGAAATTTAACACATTCATTACTGCAGTGACCTACTCAATAATAAAGTAAACATGATACTTACTGTTTAGTATAGCAGCTACCAACTTTCCTACTTTTTTTTTTTATTGATACTTATTACTTATAAGTCTTTGATTCATGGGAAACGGAAAACATCTAATTTATCTAATCTAAGACGAATGTTGTTTTTTTTTTAATTATTAAATAGTATTAAATAATAATCATATTTTTATTGACATTAATTTGTTCTACTCGTATAATTTAATCTATTGTGTTTAATATCTCCAAGATAACTATTTTTCTCATAAAAAAATAATTACAATACCTAAATCAATTAATTGACTTTAATCTATATTCCCACATTATTTACTTGAATGCAATGGCTTTGTGTTGACATGTTTTTATTATTTTATTTTATAAACTATTTAAAGTATTAGCACGTACAAACAAATTTATATGATATAATAATTAGATAATGCCTATGTTATAACAGTGCTATATTGAAAGACTATCTGCAGATATTTATTTCATTCGAATAACGCCCAACTCTGCAATAAGCCCACTTTATGATTAACTTGACCTTTGATTCTGAATATTGAATTAAATTTTTGACCATTTGCAGTATTATTTTTAACTATTTTCGTTGTTCCGAACGATTTCATTTGGAAATATGAATTGAATATTCAAATTTTAGATTTTCTAATAATTTAATTTAGTCATGTATTAAGTTTTTATTGGCATGGCACGAATCATTATAAATTATCTGTATAACCAAAGTAGGTTAAGAAAAATACTAAAAATCTTAATCTATGTAAATAGACACCTAATAATGTCAGTCAACTTTCTTATAATGGCATATGGAAATGGAATACCAGCCAACAGGGACGGAGTTGAATTAAGCTTTATTTAAAGTTAATAATTCGCTGATAATCAAGTCGTTACCACAAGTCCACAAGAATTTATTATTGAAGGTACGACATACGAAGAGGGTGCGGTTATTAAGAAACCAATAAGACCATAACAGTTTGTTACAATGCATTTAGGTGTGTCAAAGTCTCGCCGCCGTCATCACTGAGTCACCATTGCTGCGTCGTCGATACTGCTGTCGAGGCGGAATCGTTGCCTGCGCCGGTACAGCTAACCTCTGTGTCACCACTCACCATTGTCGTGTGGAGCGACGTACGACTAAAGAAACCGGACGCCCCCATCGAGCCTCCAAAGGTCGATCATTTCGGTATTTTGTAATGATTTAGGTATATATTTGATAATACAATAAAAAATACAACCTTTTTTAAGAACAATTTTTAATTTTATTAGTTTTTATGCCCGTTGTACAGTTTTCATATACTCCTTGGGACTTTGACTCACAAGTAATTACGTTTTGATTGGCTTACGTTAACATTAGATGGATAAAATAAATATTGTAATTTTTTTTAAAACTAACGTCGATATCTCATAAATTTTAGACATTAAGCTTGTGCCGACATTTTATGGATCTCCGCAGCAACTATACCGACACGATTGTGGATCTAATGAAAAATACTGTTGCAAATGGTAGTCCAGTGAATCCTCCAGTCTGGTGGATTGATCCCACTGATATAGATGCATACACAATCGATGACCGTAAGAAAATAGATTTTATAATTATTAAATATAATAATATGTAGAAATGTGTAATAACATATTATTCATATAAATACAAGTAAATACTCAAATGGAAGTGATCATATATTATTATCTTATAAAAATAATAAGAAATTTAATTTATCGATTGCTTTTCATAATTTAGATAAATCTTCATTATATGTGGTTGTTTTATTTATAAAAACTAACAATATAGTATTAAATAATATGAAGTTTTTTTTTTTTATACCATTAATATTAACAAATTAAATTTAAATCTTTAAAACTCGACTTTTTCCATAAAACGATGTGATGGTTATATAAATCATTATTTTGCCTCTTTCTTACAAAAAAAGTACATCATAGTAACTACTATATTATATATGTTCAGTAGAATTCATATTTTTTTTTTTTTTACAGTATAGTATATTGATTTATATTACGTATTAAATATAATGGTAATAGTAAGTTATTAATAACATCTTTTGGACTTTTCCCATTAGTTCATTACTACTACTTTTTTTGGTTTTTTCCGTTCATTTACTATCGTTAATCTACAGCCATGTTATTTAGATTCTAGGGGTATAAAGTGTGCATCATCTGTAGGTTTATATTTATTATCAATAACTATTATACGCGTGTTTTAGCACTCATCGTTACGCTTCTCGGTGCCATAACTTTGCTCCATAAATCGAAAATATCTCTCAATTTGCTATGCAAATCCACCTCAAACCTAACAGTGTACTCGACCAAATAGCTGTTTACCATTGATCGGTAAGTACCTTGTTAGCTGTTACTTTCTCGAGGTGGATTTATAAAGCAAGCCGCAGGATATTTTCGATTTGTGGAGCGAAGCGATGGCACCGAGGAGCATAGTGACGAGTGCTTAAACACGCGTATTGCGTTAAGTCATTGGTAGTGAATAAACGAAAAAGGTCCCATCTTTGTTATATTATTGGTTTTTATTTATATTTAATTTCAAAAAAATTATGAGTATTTTCGTATTTTAAACTTGTATATAAGTATATATTTACAACTAGGTATAAAATTAAAATATTACACCCATTTAGGAAGTGCCAATTTAGAAAAACTATTAAAATGTATAAATGAATATGAATAACTATGGTTTTAAGTTAAAATTCGTTTTCAATGCAATCATGATTATGATAATTACAGCCATAACAATTATTTTTAAATCCGTATTATATAATATTGTAAAATAAATTATTCTGTGCGATAGGTTTTTTATTCAACTATTATTTGTTTTGTTTTATTAAAAATATCAATCAATATTTGTTTTTTCTGTAAAATAATTATTTTCTTTTTAAATTATTGTTTATTTGAATGTGATTGTTTTGTTTATAGAATTTATGTTGGGTGAAAATATCCTGGTAGCTCCAGTACTTGTTGAAGGCGCAACTTCACGTAATATATACTTGCCAACGGGTTTGTGGAGGGACGAAAACAATCCCGGAAGTCCACCCTTTTTTGGAAAAACATGGCTGATAAATTACCCTGCCAGTCTTGAAGTTCTTCCGTGGTTTACTAGACTTAGTTCTGAGAGGCTACCCGAACCATCCAACTCGGTTTGCCATATATCAACTGCTAGTTATATTTTCGTTTTAAGTTTAATCGTGTATATATTTAGATGAAATTCTATGTATAATATAAAATTTATAGTTACCTACCTAACATTGTGTAATATTAAAACGTTGTTTTTATATATTTCAATATACAGCCAGTTATCGAATAATGTAACTGGAATTTAATTTATTCCACTGACGTGATATTATAAAAGGTAATTATAATTTTAACATTTTACCAAAAGTTATATGATGTATAAATATAGTCAATATAGAATTAATAGCCGACCAAATTATTAAAATATTTTAAACAGTATCCGGCGGAATTGATACAAACCTTTTTCCTAAACAGGTAGTTTTGGCGGAATAAATAATTCCCCCATATTTAGACCTAAATTTATTAATGGTAACGATTACTTAATAAGTAAAATTAATGTCGGTGTCATACTGACTGATATAACTGATTACTGTACTACATATACTTCAATACCTATCAATACTGAATTTGTTGAAAAAAAAAAAAAAAAAAAGAATGTCAAGTGCCTACAATTGATTACAATATTATGGTATTTATATACAAGTTAATGAATGGAAAATAAACTGAAATATATAATGAATGTAGTGATGTTCATATAGATGATAAATGACGCTATACTGTATTCAATAGTATGTATAATAATTAAATTTGCTATTGACAGATCTACAACGTGTAGATTAGAAAATACTAAAAATAATCATTTGGAAGAGTAGATGACTAACAGATTATTAACCTTAGTCCACCGTAAGCAATATCTCTCAATGAAATTTAAAAAACAATCAAATAATTTATGGATAGCTTAATACTACAAAAAATATAAAAATATTTTTACGAAAACTGTAAGGCTAGCAAAGATAAAATTTTATTAACAAAAATTCAAAATGTAAGTTCTTGCAACTTAAAGTTAACATAGAAACTAATTATTAATGAAGATACCAGAGCTAAATATAAATCAAGAAATATAGAATAATAAAATTGGAACAATTTACAGAAAAGATCAAATAAAAGCATTCAATATATTTAATGATATTTTTATAAGTATTGCTAATAGTTTATCTAAAAAGCCAATCAAATTGAAACCAAGCCGTAAACATAATAATATTTAATTTAATGATGTTTTTCTTAAAAAATTGAGCCGTCAACTATTCTACAGGTTATTAATAACTTCAATGAAAATACTTCAGTGGGTTTGGATAGAGTATATCAGTCAAGATTTTAAAAAGTATAAGTAAATTTATAGTGAATCCTCTTCTGGTTTATATATTATAAATATTAAGTATTTAGCAAAACATTTACCCTAATATTTGCATAATTCCTTGATATCCTGGAATTGGCTGTGATTAAACCTTTATTTAAAAGTGGGGATAAAGCGTCTATGAATAATTATAACCTATAGGTCCATACTAAGCATCTTTTCAAACATATTAGAAAAATTTATTAAAACTAGATTGATTGATATTTTGTCAAAAAATCAGTACGGTTTTAAACCAGGTTTAAGCACTGTACCAAGTTTTTCAACTTCTGTGTTATAATAATTTAGAAAATAATAATAAAACGTTGGAAATATTTTTAGACTTAACCAAAATCTTCGATACAGTTAACCATTATATTCTTTTGAACATATTATTGTCTAGCTTTGAAATAATAGTAGCTCACACTTAAACTGGCCACTTATACCGGTATAAAAATGACTTACAAGACAGGAAAAAATAGTGATACAATTCGGGTAATTAACAACTTTTTCAGATTATATATTTGAAATATTTATATTTGTGACAATCAATAGCGAAGCGTCATAGGAGACAATGAGACAATAATGTCTTCCTACTTAGAAATTAAAACACAGGACACACCTTACGCAGCCAAAACTTCACATCTCACCACTGGTAACAATACTATTTTCCCTTCGCATATTTAGGCGTTCGCATTAATTTGAAAATAATTTTTATGTCACATCTAAATATTTATAATTTTTTAAATGTTTTATTGGTAGATCAATCAGAAATTAATATTAAAATTAAAAGCGTAAGAACAATAAAGCCAGAAAATAAACTTTAATTAAAAAATAAATATATTCTCAATTAAATTAAAAGATCATGAAGAAAGAGTAAAAACGAAGTTTAAGTTTATAAAATCTGTGTTATACTATTTAAAAAAAATAATTGTATTTTTATGAACTAGAAAAAAATATTTATAATTATTTGACTGATTTTATGTACCTTGTTTTAAACTAAATTTGTTTAATCTATATGGCATTATTTAAAAAAAAAATAATTTTTTTATGTGTTAAAAAAAAAAAAAAATAATAATAAACGTTAGATATACTATGTAGTATATTACTGTATTATACATTAATAGCCCACTCTCCAGGTAGTAAAAGGTAAACAAATATAATTCGGTTATATTGAATTGAGTCCATGCTACTTTTCGGAGTTGGTAAATTGCGTCCTGCAAAAAAGGTCATAGTTATATACTGTGTAAATTGCGGCCCGAGTATATTTTATACATACGTAAATTGCGGCCCGGGTATATTTGAAATGTACGTAAATTGCGGCCCGGGATATTCCGATTTCCGGTCGGCTGGTTATATTATCTTTAATATTGATCGATAAGATCACTTGATGCTCACTTATATAATATTACTAGCCGCCAGTGTGCTGTGTGCATTTGATCGAAATATTTCGCACGAGTTTTTACATTGGTCTACAGTATTTACAGTATTTGGTAAATTAGTATTTATATTTTTTTTTTAAATTTAATAACAATGGAAGTTATGAAAAGTGAAAAAAATAAAACGTTGAAAATAGTTGATGGTTTCAAATTTCGTTTTCAAAAACTTCTGAAGAATGATATTCAACGTTGGCGTTGTACAGTCAAAACTTGTAAGTGTTTTTTAAAATTTAATAATAACAGTATATGTATAGATAGCTTTAAAGATCATAACCATCTACAACTTTCGGAACAAATTATAAATCGTCAAAAACTTAATAATAATTTAAAAAGAAAAGCCGTTGATGATATTTTTACAAGGCTATCTAAAATTATTCATTCTGAGTTAAAAAATGCTGATGTCGAATCTTTAACTACACAAGACGTAAAATTGATTTAAAGAAATTTACACAATGCTCGAGCTTCTATACTACCAAAATTACCAGACACTTTTTTGGAATTACAAATATTTTTGACAAAATAGAATTCAAAACAAACAAAAATGAAAATTTTTTGCTAGTAAATAGTAAAGAAACAAATATAGTAGGTTTCTCTACATTAAGCAATTTAAAAGTGTTATGCGATTCGGATACTATATTTGTAGATGGTACATTCAAAAGTTGTCCAAAATTATACCATCAATTATTTACTGTTCACTGTGCAATAAATCAGTCTTATGTTCCACTCGTTTATATTTTATTACCTTCGAAGACTACACAGTGTTATTTACAAGCGTTTCATCATTTAGTTATAGAGTGCGAAAAAAATGACTTACAATTTAATCCTATTCGGTTATATGCCGATTTTGAAAAAGCTATTCACAATGCTGCAAGACATGTTTGGCCTTCTATTGAAGTAAAAGGGTGTAGATTTCACCTTGGTCAAAGTTGGTACAGGAAAATACAGCAGCTAGGATTAAGTAATGATTACAAAAGAAATAATACCGATATAAGTAATTTCTTAAAATTATTTTTTGGGCTTCCTTTTTTGAGTTGTGATATGGTTGAAGATTGTTTTGCGTTTGATATAATGGCATTGCAACCACAAGATAATAGGATAGTACAATTTACCGACTACATATTAGAAACATATATAATCGACGACGCGGAGTTTCCACCACAGATATGGGCTGAATTTGTATCCTCAACGATGCGCACTACAAATAATTGTGAATCATTTCATAAAAAATTAAATAGTTCGTTCAATTTGTCACACCCAAATATATTTAATTTTATTGAAATTTTAAAAAACATGCAATGTGATACGTATATTATATTAAGAAGTCAGGGAACAAAAAGCAAAAAAATGACTGACAAAGAATCATTTATACATGACAAAATGTATGAATTGCAAGCAAAAAATATTACTCAGTTAGACTATGTGCGGGAATTATCTTATAAGTTTTTACCAGTATATTAATTTGAATTTTTATAATAGGTACTATTTTTTTCACTATACACATTTTTACTTATTTTTAATAATATATTTTTTAATTATAAACAAAACAGCAAAACCAATATTTTTAACCATACCAATATGAATACAATAATTATATTGCCAGTCCTAAGTCTGAAAAATGGGAAGGAAAATATTGATTTTGTAATTTACATAACAATGACAAATATTTAAGTAGGCAAATATATTAAAATATACCGGGGCCGCAATTTACGTATGTATATAATATACCGGGGCCGCAATTTACGTATGTATAAAATATACCCGGGCCGCAATTTACGTATGTATAAAATATACCCGGGCCGCAATTTACATAAAAAATTTAAAACGGGACGCAATTTACAGCGACCCCTACTTTTATGTGTTTGAATTGAGTCCAGCTTATTATCTTAATATCTTTGAATTGAGTCCGATAGATAAAATGCCATGACTACCTATATAGCTGATGACTCACAATTAGTTAATACTTACTTAATTATCAAATTATTACGAGTGAAAAATGGAGTGTATGTTTAAATATTCACCCGTAAAATACTTATTTCTCCTCAAACATTTTTTAATATTTTGTTATATTTCCAAAAATAATAAGATAAGTATGTACTCGAAATTTCCAAATTATTATTTTTAATACCTACATTATAATAAAGTTTCTAACAAATGTCAACTCTTTTAGAAATATTTATAAGTATGACAAATTTTCAATTTTTTTTAGTAATTTTTTATAACTGTCGATTAAAAAATATTCTTTAGGTAAAAATTAAATTTATTTATTATTATTTTTAATATTTTTAAATTAATTGACTCTTTATTTTTGTTATTACAATTAAAGAAAGAGACTCAACTAGAATAACCTAACAATATTGGTCGGACTCATCTTCAATAACCCAAAAATATTTACGGGACTCAATTCAACGTCAGTCATATAATTATTTTTTAAATAGATAAAATATAGCTCAATTATATCGATCGCCCGGAAAATAACTTACATTTTTATAATGGCGCAAATGGGTAACCTCCGTCAGGATAATTGGGTTCGTGTACCAGATAGCAAAACAAACAGGACTGATAAACTCACATTGTCCGTACGATAAAAAAAAAAAAAATTCAAACATGAAAGTTTCTGTAATCTTTTGTGATTATTTTATTTAATTATTTTTTCACACATTTTTAATTATTATTATTATTCTTGTGATCTTTAATGATTCTCAAAAGTGCTACATCATTTAATTTTGATTATAGACAATTTTAGTGAAAAAATGTTTACTACCGTTCGACCAATTTGAAAGAATCTAAAAAATAATATTACACAAACAAAATTATTAATACAGCGTCATGCATGTAACCTGTACTCATTTGTGGGTTTTAAACAAATAATATTTGTACTAAATATATGAAAACTTATTGATAATTATAACTTAAATACCACTATTATAGTCTGTAGATTTTCTGCGATCTGTTGCCAATGTAATAAAATATTATTTCTCCTCCACCGAAATGCTATTGTTGGTCATAATTATTGCCCTCAAATTTTCGTTTTCGTTTTTCAGGTAATCCCTGAACGAATAAGCGTCGGTCAGCTTGATCCGGATGTTTGATATTTTTTCTTCATCCGGATTTGGATTGACCATCATCTTCCTAACATATCTACACGCAATAACAATAATAAATAATAATTAAAATGTATACAAATATAAACGGTTGTTTAGCGTGTATATAAGAGTTAATAATAAATAACATTTAGTGTGTATTTTATTTCATTTACTCTACGGTTGGAAATTCCATAACTGGGCATTCGTATAGTTCCATAAAAATTTCAGTGAACTTGTCCAGCACACCCTTCCGATCCAAATATTCGCGAAAGTCCTTTCGTCTGGACATGTGCCCTATCTATGATCATTAAATACCACATCTTCTTTATTATGATATTACATAGCATGGTATACATGCAGGTTTGGATCTAAGAATTTAAACACCCGGGGATAATAACCAAAAATAATTGTTTTGGAATAACTGAGGTTATATCATATTTAATAACTTAAATATTCAATTATAATATGAATACATTTAAAAAACAGTAAATTCATTCGCTGTTTATCTTATATTTTTATACTTAGTATTTATACTGAAAATATTCTTACGACAAAAAAATTTTTGTATGCACACAAATATAATATGATTAATATGATAATTTTTATAATATTTTTAAATATTCAATTAATTTATATTTATATAATATTTTAGGTTTCGGAGATATTTACCAATAATCGTTAAAATGACTTTTATTAATAGTATTCAAATAATTTTATTATTTAAAACCTACTTATAGTAGATAATAATAGTTTTAATTAATAAAATTAGAAAATTTTAATACAAGGGCTTGAACATTTGAAATTTAATACAAGTTTCATTATAATATAACATTTATTATACATAATAACATTTTATGGCTATTTCTGGAAATGTCAACCATTTTGTTTTGATTAAGCATTTTAAGTTGGGATCAGTATGTAAAACTCAAAATGCATCAATATATTCAATACATGTAAGTGTTTAATTATTAGGAAAGTATTATTCTCATATACGAATCTCTGGTTTCTTTGGCTTAGAACCGGCACTGATATAGTTATATTTATAATCAATTTTGACGACATTACCTTATCACTAAATAGGTTTCCACTGTTCAAATAAAACTCCTTGTCCTTGATAGGCTGGTTTGTCATTTCTCTTGCCATACCACTTGCACCTTTGTGGGGAAAATGATTTGAATAATATTAATTACAATTCAAGTGTAATGTACGGTTTGATCGGATTAATTTTCAAAATTTTCGTTATTTCTAATCGAATCGACAATATGAATACGTCACTACGTAACCGCCGTAACTATTATTATTATTTTTTTTTTTTTTTATGATAGTATACCCTTCCTTTATTTTTAAAATAATAATTAATTAAAAAGGTCCCTTGTTTTATTAAGTTTCAAAAGTCGTAATATTTACTAAAAAAAATACCTCGAAAAACCATTTTCTTTAAAAAAACACTGTAATTTATATTTTCAGAATGATAGAATTATTTGTTAGTTACAATACTTTGTATGCATTATAAGATGTATTATTGATGAAATGTACGCGCAAAAAATTGTAAAAAGAGTCAATTTTTTTTTATTTTGGCTCGCAATCGCTTGTTTATGGTTATTTCGAAAAAAACTAATTTTACGTCACTTTAAGTTTGTACACGCGACTACGTTAGGTTAGGTTACTGAAACAAACACTACGATGAACGAATGGTGATAAAACGAAGAACAACTTCAATCAGAACACACCACGTTGCACAAAAATACTAAACGGATTGCTACGGACGGAAGTAGCGGTTCTGCGGTTCCACACCAAATAATTCGTGGCGCATTAATAAAAAGCCGGAAAAGATCACGACACGCCAACTAAGCTATGTAATCGCACTGGCTTCAAAAAACGAGAATGGCGTAAGTCAGTAATTTTAAACTCAAATTACCTACGTGCCATATATTTTTTCAAAAAAAAATTCACATGCCAAATTCTAAGTATCATTTTTATACTTTTACACTAAAAACTAAAGACAAAATGAAGGCAACGATACATACAAAATCCATTTATTTAAATGTGACTTAATATATTATGAAATTACTTTTATTATAATAATTACTATTACCAAAAATATTTATAAAAATATAAACAAAGTAGTTGTTTATATTTAACTTATTATTACTACAAAATTATCATTGAAAAAAATATGATGAACATTAACTTAAAAAAAAAAATTATAATTAAAATTTAAAAATAGCTTGAATATTTGATAATTTTTATTTTTGAGCTGCACTTGAAACTTGACATCTTTTTTTTTGTACCAAGCTGTCTATATTTGCGCAAGAATTTCTTGATGCCAAATGTAAAACAGATTGTAGTTTGACATTTGAAATTTGATTTTGACTTTGTGATTTATTTAATTTTACGAGAAAAAATAATTGTTCACATACATAAAAGCTACCAAATATGGATAGAATGTTAGAAAAGTGTTTCTTTAGTTTTTGATAACTGTTTCCAAGATATTTAAAAATTTCTAGAACTCCTACAGTTTTAAATTTTGATTTTAAAATATAATTACATTGGAGATCAATTAACTCGAGTTCGAAATCTTCCTTTACATGTTCTATATTATACATTTATGGAAAATAGCTCATTAAAAAGTAGAAAATCATCTTTATACTTTTGAAAATTTGCAAATCTGTTCATAAATTCATTTTTTAGTGATAAAATGTGTGAAATGTATTTTTTACCGTCATTACTATCTGTGGATAACTGTTTTAATGTAGGAAAGTGTACTAAGTTATTTAATTAAAGTTGAGTTTCCCATAACCGTAATTTTATCGTAAATGAATGAATTGAGTCGCACATACTTTGTTTTTTCCTTGTAATTGTAGGTTGAGAATATTTAAATGTACAGTAATATCAACAAAGAAAGCTAAATCTTTAATCTAATCATTATTAGTTAATTCTGGAAAAATCTTGTTTTTAGATTTCATAAAACAGTCTTTTTCTTTTAATAAATTGAAAAATCTTTGTAGAACTGCTTCACGATTTAACCATCTTACCTCATTGTAATATAGTAAACAACCATACTGAACATCCATTTCATCGAGTAATGTACTACATTTTCTATGATTCAATGCATGGGATCTAATCCAATTCACTGTTTTAATAACTATATCCATAACATGCTCCATTTAAATTTTTTTTAAACATAAAGATTCTTGGTGGATTATACAATGAAGACTTTTCAATTCTACGCCTTAAATCATAGATTTTGATTTGAATCGAGAAACCAAACCTGCTTTTGCACCTAACATCACGAGAGCTCCATCAGTAGTAATTCTCGAAAAATTATTCCTATCTACTTCTAATTCATTAAGCCACTTTTTAACACAGTCACATAATTCAGTAGTATTTTTGGATTGTTGTTTTTACCATAAATATTGCTGAATTACATTGTTGTCGACGACGTAAACCGTACCTACGTATTATAGCATTATATTTACCGACCAGCATGACCAGCCGTAACCTATTCCTTATTAAATGTTTATTATTATAATTATTATTTTTTCATTTATAAATAAATATTTTATTACTCTAAAAATAGCCCAATAATAATAGCTCCATGTTGAGCACAAGCGTTGTTTTATCGGCAATCACACGTATTTTGAAATGTTTGTATTATATTATTAGTTCCGTTTCTACAATTAATATTTTTTATTATTTTTTTTTTTTTTTAAGTAAAATATATGATTAAAAAAAAATTTTAAAAAGTATTAATTTAATTTAACTATGTTATTTTATGTTTTTCAAAATAATGTTTTTGTGTCTACATTTTAATTTTTAATAATTTAAAAATTATATTTTTTCACAGTTAAAAATCAACAAAAAAATATAATAAATATTATGATTATAATTTTTATCTTGGTTTTACCATAAGGTGACTGTGTAATAAAACTGTTAGCACTTTTTACGTTAGTTACACTATGCAATTTAATATAAAATATTCATTTGCGATTTGCTTTAGAGAAGAATTAATTAATATTTTCATATTTTATTGATTACGTAATAATTTTGGATAAATTATATTGGTTCACATACAATACATAATAATATACGTCAGTACGATATTCGATCATTCAATTGATTTTAATTTACATGAGGTGAACAAGTTTGGAAACATAAATATTATTTTTCCGAAGCTGAGTATCTTAACTAACTAGGAAATATTTAGGTTAAAATATTTTTACGATATTTCTCGAGTCTGGAAAATGTTACATAACAATTAATTGATATTATTCATGCAATGATTGCGCCTTAGTTGAATAATAATTATTGAATTTCACAATACTAAATACTAAAATAGTCTCTGAACTTTTTATTTTGTCCAAAAACATTTCTTTGTTTAATAGATTTACTTATAACAATATAGATAACACACTCTATCGATATTTGTTTTTAATTGTCTAGAACAGTGGTTCCCAAATGGTGGTACATCAAAGTTCACACGATATTATGGTAAATTAATTTCTTTATTTTCTTTTTGGGTAGATCTAATATTGTTTTATAGTTTGAGTACGTTGTTATTTATTATTATTCTATTCCAATATTAATTATTATCTCGAATCTTATAAAACATGTTTATACAATTTATCTATCGACACACATCTCTTTCGTACATAAATAATTAAAAAAAAAAGTATGTATTTTTTTAATTTTGACATCATATTGACATATTGAACAGTTATATTTCTAGTCAACAATAATTAAAAGTAATTACAACCGCTCGCTAATAACCTAGCTATTGAAGCCTTTATTTTAAATAAAATAAATAAATAAATAAATAATTAAAAGTGCGTGATTATTATTATACGTTTGAGAACTTCTGCAGGTCTACTAGGAGTGTCAACGAGTTTGAACTAAAATGTTTCGAATGTTCTTATAGAAAAATAAAAACCGTTTCGAGCTTTTGTATTTATTTAGAATAATGAAATTATAGAGAAGTTATAAGCACTATATTCATATTTGTTTTCATCACATCATGCACTTTATTCGCCACTTTGCTGAAGAAACACGTATGAAGAACTTGTTTTTGTATTATCACCGTACATTCTTACCGTAATACGTATTCAAGGAAAACGAGTAGAATTCGATTTGTTGTGTTCCTGGGTATCTGTTTTGTATTTGCGTTAAATCTGTAAGCATTTACTCCGTCAGCTTGTATGTAGTACGCAGAGACAATTTTTATCTGGCAGAAAAATCATTGAGCTTCAAAATTATTCAGCATATTTATTAAAAAGGTTAGTATTTACAGTGTATAATATTGTGCATACACATTTGATTTCAAAATCAAATATAATATCCTTAGTTTTTTATTTTTTCAATAATACAGTTTTTAAGGAAAGAAAATGACAAATAACCAATTAAATAATAGTTCATTATTTAACTTGCATTATTTTTTCTAGTAACAAAATAAATGTCTTTTATTATATGCATGTATAAATGTATTTTACCATAATAATATTGTTCGAATACATCGAATGCATCCATACATTTTACATTAAATCATTATAATATTAAACCAAATTCATATCATTATTTACTATAATTACATTTAGCTAACATAGTATAAAATATGAACTATAAATGACACCATAGATAGTTAAATATAATTGCCATTATACATAATATCTAAATAGACATATTTTGAATACATCAGGAAAAAACAAATGGTTTTTGATACATTTTCAATCAAATAATTTAAATTAGTTAAGTTAATAAATGTACTACGGTACCCAATACCTATTGACGATTGTAATTTTTAATAATAATTTCTGCATTTAAATGATAGATACTTACTTTTAATTTCAAATGATTCTAATGATTCTAAAATTTTAAATTAGTCCTTTATATAATAGTAATTTGGATAATTCATTGACTGAAAATACACAAATTTATTTTCTTTGTCTATATTAATATCGTAGAAATATAAGCAGTACAAAATTAATAAATAATTAATAATAATAATATATATAGTTTACTTTATTTCATTGATATTAAAACTGTTTAGTTTAAAGTTTAAATTGATATTTTGGTTACAAATGATACCTGTTTACCTGTCGTAAATATCTACTTGGTATTTATGATATTTAAATTGTTGTGTAAAGTTATATATTTAAAACAAACAATGTCCTAAAATGTTTTTAAACGTTATTAACACGCTAAAAATAATAAGGCAGGATAGGTTTAGGCTTTATTGGTAACAGAATGTATAAAATTATATAAGAAATAGATTTAAGTGATTGAACAATAATTTTTGATAGACACCATTAGACACCATAAGCGTTGATAATTCAAAAAGAAATAATTTGTCACAAACTTACCTATGTAGAAGATTGACGAAAAAATTCGATAAATTTAAGTTAGACAGGCGTACATAATTCTTGATTATTAACACCTACAAGTATCAATTACAAGTACAAAATTAGATATTATAAAATGTTTTATTTTTAGTGTAATATAGAAATTATGAATTTGATTGTATAAATTGTATAATGTAAGAACTATTAAAGCATAATTTCTTATACACGTCATATTATCATTATCTATAGACTATATAATATCTGATTTTAGCAAGACGTGTTGCTATGTAATGTAATCAAATAATATAAGACATAAAATTTAAAAATTAAAGTGAGTAGCAGTGTGTATATCGGTGATTGTATAATTGTTTTGAAATAAGATTTTATTTTTTAAATTTTGTTAGTCTTCTCAGGTAGTAAAAAGTCCTGTGGCACTACTTCTATGTTATATTATAATAATGATCAATTTCACACTGATTATCTCTAAAAGGTATTTTTTAAATATTTTTTTAGTGATTTTGAGACTTAAGTTCCCCTATTCCTCACTTTTGAGTTCAAAAGTTACAAAAATCACAAGTTAAATTTTTTTGTTAAAAGTAATTTATAGTTAAAGTTTTTATTATTTTATAAACTCGATTGTTAATAATTTTGTACCATTTTATCGGTTTTTAAACAGGCATTTTTTTCCCTATTGGCTTTAAACAACTTACTAGTCATTTAAACGGACATTTTTTATAGCATTTGATAGTTTTTTTCAATTTAACTTAAAATTCTAAGTAGCTTATTAATACGTACTACATTATCATGTTGTATTATTATCGTTATAGTGTATTATGTTACATCCTTTAAAAACACATATTTGATTAATTGTTTAGAGTGATAAATTATTCTTCTTTTACGATAATATTGTCTTATGTTATAGTTCTTAAACTATATAGCGGAAGTCTACTTTTAATTATAAAAACAAAATATTATTTATTTTAAACCCATTTTTCTGCACATGCTTATATATATAAATATATATATATATATATGAAAATGTTCGATATATATATATATATATATGTGTGTATGTAAAGAAACAAAACGAACTGTTCAGTGTCTAGCTATGTTACCCAACCGGTTATTAAACTGTAGTTTGGTTAATATAGCCTTGGATCAAAATTTATGGGTGACTTTTAAAAGGAAGTTAATTCAATGTCATAAGGTCGTACAAATCAATAATATTTAATTAATATGATATCTCAGAATGAAGTGATACTAATTGTTTTGGCTTCAGAAATCAATGTTTTAATTTTCAAGTTTTGTTATTCTACTGCGCTATATTTCTTAACATAAATAGTAGATTTACGGATATAATATGTTTTTAAAATATTTTAAAATAATTAATAAATACTACCTAAATGTTATATTGATAAAAATTTGGATTCTTTACTGATATCATTTAATTTTGACACTATTATATTTAATAAAATGTGTACGTTTTTATGTTATTTTGAAATTTTTTTTTATTTTTGATATCATATATCCGATTTAAATCTTAGGAAAAGATAAATAATTAGGAATTTATTTTTTAAAGCGAAAGCTTATAAATTCTATAGTTCGAAAATTTTAAATAAGTTACTTATAATGTATTATAATATATAGTGTATACTATACACTAAAATACACTCGATACTTCAAATTTGCTGATTGAAAATGCTTTTAATGGTGATACTATGATATTATTTTTTTATGTAAAAATTACTAAACTGGTGTCTGTATATTACATTCTGTCCACACTTATTTTACTCTTATGTGTATATGTATTTTTAAATTTAATTTATGAGTGTTTAAACAGTTTTAAGTTATACGAAACGATCTTATACATTATTTGTATTTTTATTAAATCTTCATATTTTATAACTGTTTATAAATTATTGGAGTTACCTAACTGAATGTTATAACGGTACCGTTAAGTAGTAGTGGTTTTTGAGTCCTTGGCTAAATTACATTAATACACCTAATATATGATATAAATTATTTTAATATATAACAAACGTAAATATGTATTTATTCTACAATTACAGTACTCATTAATTGTAATTCATATGAATTTATTACACATAAAATTCGTATTATTTTTTTTTTACATAATACCCGTTGTTTAAGTTTATTGTGACTATTATATTTAAAAAAAAAAAATCATACACAAACTAATAACTTAAAATATTTTTACTTTTACAAATCATAAATAAGTTTGATAACGTTCTGTTAACACTAGATTTAACTTCATATTATCCTTGCTTCATTTTTATATTTATTAATGTATGTTTTTAAGTTTGCGGTTATCGATATTGCCTGCTAACGATACCAAATAGTTTGTCGGTTGTTTTGTCATTTTATATAGTTTAAAATTGTATGTGAATCTCGTTTTTATATGATTAGACGTCTTCAACATAATATAATAATATATGTAATTTAAAATACTTTACTTTTTCATTATTCTTGCGGTACGCATGTGTTTAAACACACAATAATTTTCAATTACAAAACCATATTTTGCAATAAATATTATTGCGTTCAATAAATTTACAAATATTTTTGAAAAAGTGATTTTATTGCTTAGACTTTAGTTACGTCATAATCATTTGTTATAGTTATAATTAATGTGCGTAGGTATATAATATAATTGTATACACACATGTTTCATGCAGTTGTAGATACAAAAACGCTAGATTACGAGTGAATGATGTGAAAACATTTTGATATCTGACAAAAGCATATAATATTTTTAGTAATATAGCTTATTGTCATATATTTTTTTCATCGATATTCCTACATCATACAATAAAAGACAACAGTTTAGTACTTTGTGTTGCTCAAATTTTAGTTTTAAGACTCTCATACAGCAAGTGTTCAACATAAGCATACATTAATAGACACACACGTTAAAATTGAACTCATCAGTATAGTTTCATGAGTTTGTATTTTCATCAGTACAGTCGTCTTTGCATGTAGTTAAAATATTATATAATAAATTGATGAGTAGTATATAATATGTATCTAGTCATTTATAGTTTTTCACTATAGTTTCTAATAGTTTTTTATTGATTGAAGCGCAAGTCCATTTAAATATCTATCTTAAGAACACTTATTGGTATAGTAAAAATATTTGTCAATATAAACAATTTCAGTTAACAATGGTTTGTTTATTTATTCAGATTCGTTCGTTATATTTATATGTATTATGAAAATGCAGTGTTATGACTCACAACCATAAAATATTTAAATAAAAAAAAAACTTAAATCAATAACAATTCTGAGATTTATATGACGATTTATTGATTTGCATTATGAACAAGACAGTAATTGCAAATCGTTCCGTTCATTCCTTATTAGTTATTAATCATTATACGATATAGCTCATAAGATATTATTTATAATATTATACAACCTAACCTGTTCGATGACGATTAATGACCATCTTTATTTGATACGTTATAACCAAGCTCGGATCAAGAGCTTCAGGGGCCCAGGGGCCAATACATGGTTGTGAGCCCCCGTCAATAAAAACAATTCTTTAAAGTTATAAAATTATATAATAAAACAAATTTAAACATATTTATTTAAGTATGATAACGATTGATGAGGATAAAAATATTAAAATAATATTATATTTTTATTAAAATATATATTTACACATAAAATTAAGTTTTGTTTATGTAAACAGGTTTAGTCGGTAGGTATCTGAATTATGAGTATTCATGACCGAGACAGTCCCATAAACAAATTTTCCCAATTCTATTTTTAAATACAGTAATATCAAAATATATGCCTATTCCCAACAAACACAAATATGGCTATGACGCTATATTTCCCCACTTACTATACTATTGGTGGTAAACACGGTCGACGGGCCTCATTAACTGTTAGCTCAAACAAGAAAAAAATAAAAATATTTTTGTAGGTACTAATGTAGGTATTATAAAAAGTACAAATTATCACTTAATGTAATTTTAAACCGAGAAAACTATGGGCCCTTAACACACGTGGGCCTCGGGGACTTGGCCCCTCCTGCCCCCCTTAATCAGGGCTTGGTTATAAAATTTAAACATTTTTATATACTTGCTTATTAAATCCAATTTCCATTCTTCAGTCATAAATACGCTGAATAAAAATGCCGGAATACTATGTTATACCTAATCAAGACGAAGTGAAGAGATTAATAAAAGAGTATGGTATGAAAAAAGAAGAAATTAATAAAGATGTAGTCACTGTCAAGAATTGGATGCTAGTACAACCACATTTACCCAAATTTCCAGAATCTAAAAATGGTAACTATCTACATGCTTTATAGCAAATAAAACATATTTAATCTCAAAAATATTTATTTGACGATTCAGATGAATTAAGTTTTTGGATTGAAGGGTATCTGCGATTGACCAAAAACAATTTGGAAAAAACAAAATCAGGAGTTGAAAGCTATTTTCGCTTAAAAACATTGTTTCCTCAGGTCTATGATGTGAATGATCTACTAAACTATGTAGAAAGTGATTTGTATGAATATTTGTAAGTATATATTATTTTGTTCAGTAATATAAGATTGTACATAAGTACAATATTAGTTTTAGAATCGGTTAAAATGAGTTTAAAAACATTTTAATTTTAAAATCATTTTGAGTATTATAATGTTTTTAAGTAAGTTGTTATTTTGGCTGCATCCGAATTACATACCAAAAATAAAAACTAAATTGCATGCTGTGTTCCCACAAGTTGATCTTTATTTATCATGCACTTACGTGCACAACTTTATCTTTGACTTTTCTTATTAAAAAAAAAAAAATATTGAATTATATTGTATACATTGTCAAAAACTCCACCAAATTTTATATTATTATTATTTATTTGAAATTTCATGTAAAAATGTAAAATACATTTAGTTGATTACCTTAATTACAATTGTTTTATTTAATATTCACAGTATCATCTTCTATAATTCGGTATGTTTACTCAAATATAAAAATACTTCAATCTTGAAACTAATAGTTTCTAATCATACGTTGTTTAAAAAAAATTAGAAATATCAAAAATAAAGTTGAAGTTGTGCACATAAGTGCATGATAAATAAAGATAAACTTGTGGGTACACAACATGTAATTCGGACAGACCTCTCTAAGAGGTGTCATGCAATTCAAACAAATTCCTCTAATTTGGACATTCCAATTTATGTTTATTTTTTTGGAATGCAACTCGGATGCACCGGTTATTTTATTTACCGTTTTGATACGTATCACGAGTTTCACAAAAAAATGTATGCGAATTACGTATGACACATAAAATATCCTTAATAGAAATTTAAAATATTAAGAAGGCTCACATAAATTAATTTTATTTTGTCACCACTTACCAAGCATATTAATGTAGGTACATACTCAAATTAAGGGAAAAACTAATAATGTGGTATTTCAGTTAATGAAGACTATTTTCAGAAATATGTTTTTTTTTTTTTAAATTAGGACAAAATTATTACTTTGAAACTCATTGTTATAAAATTTAATCTCATATTTTTCGGTGTAACCTATGATTAAGTAATATTCAAATTTAATTTCCACAGGACCATGGTTATGTTACCCAAACACACGCCTGATGGTCTTAAAATAATGTATTTTAGTTTCAAAGATAGCAATACTCGTTTTTTTCGGGCAATTGAGATATACAAGAGAATGCGTTTGATGTTGGATATTTATCAGAGGAAAGGCATCGATTTTACCGGTATTCACGTTTTGATTGACACGAGGCATTTAACGTTGTCACACATAAGTCAATTTGACTTGTTCCAACTCAAGAATCTCATTAAACTCGCTCAGGTCAGTGAACTCTGCTAAAATATGCCGTTCGTAATGTTTCGATTATTAAAATGCTATAACACAAATGGTTTAGAATTTTTGTATTTTTTTTTTCTTAAAGAAAAAATAAGCAAATTAATCACAATAATTATCCTAATAATAATAAGTATATTTTATTTATTATTAAATGAAAGTTAATTAAACATAATTTTTTAAGTACAAATTATTATATTGTGATTAAGTAGTGTATTGGTTATTGTATAATATTATATATTTATTGTTTCCTAAGTGAATAATAATTCAAATACATAATATAACACCATAATAACATTACACTTGCATAAAACTAAGATGAGGATATATATATATTAGCATTAAGTATTATACAACAATGAGTAAAATATAACTAGTAAAAATGTATTAGACAATTTGATGATATGGTTATGAAAGTATATATTATAGCTTAGCCTATAATAAATTAATCAAGTTTTTATAAATTAAGATTAAAATATATATTCAATTATTAAATAAATAAAATAAAATTGTCACTTTTTAGGTTGGTATAACATTTGATGACTTAAAACTATTTTTAATTATCGTTTATTGTATATTTTCAGAAAGCATATCCATTGCGTTTGAAACATACTCATATTTTGTTCCCACCAAGTTTTATTGATGTGGCTAAAAATATCTTGAAGCCATTTGTGTCGAAAAAAATGTTTGCCAGAGTGAGTGTTATACAAATTTTGCACTTATGTGTGTAACTTATGTAAACATTGTGTAATAATATTTTTTGTACTATAATTGTTTAGTTATCTTTCCATAAGAACCTTGAAACTCTTTGGGAACACATACCAAGAGATGTACTTCCAAATGAATATGGAGGATATAGTGGAAATTTGGATGTGGTTAGAGGTAAAAATAACTGGTTATTGGATTCACTAATTATTTAATAACATTTGTGTTCATAATTGAATTTAATTATAATTTATTGACATTATTTTGTAATAGTAAAACTGTTATTTGTATAATACGAGTATTTAAAAATATAGTGAAAAAAAAAGACGAAAGTAAGTAAATAATGTGTTAAATTGGCTTCTAATATTATAAAATCTATATATATTATATAATATATAATATATACAGTGAAACCTCTGAATATCAGAAACAAATTCAGAGAGTGTATAATTTTGAAATTCATAAAAGGTAAAAGTTTAAATGGAAAAAATATGCATTATATTAAATTTAATTAAATTCTTATTATATTTTAATTTTTTAATAATATATGTAATAATGTAAATAGTAATAATATTATAAAAAAAGCATAGATAGTTTGATGGGAAAAAATCGTTCTGCTTGATTAGTTCATAACTATGTCGTTTCTGTACAATTTCGTTAGTAAATTAATTTGACAAACTTACAGTAGAAGAGAAAATATTGCTCTTTTTTACCTCTATCGACGATATGAAATGAACCTACGTTCTGTAAACTCATAATGTGAAATTTTGATATTTTATCTTCTTTATCGATCTCACCAAGCTCATTGGGATCAATAGTCGTCATTGTCGTCATTAGATAGTCTTCGTGAGTGAAAACAGTTTTATCCAAAATAACATAGGAGTTTATTTCAACACTGCCGTCAATCAATGAAATGATTGGTAAGATTGGTAAAAGTTTTTTTTTTTTTTTTTATCTATTTTTGATTCGGTATCAACTGTTTGTTCGTCATATTGATTAACACTGCATTGAAAGAAGTATTTTTTTTTTAGTTTTAGGCTTTACATGAGCTCTTTTTCTAACAGTTGCTTACAATAAAGCTTCTTAAATTTTTGAATTATATTCGTTGTAATCTTATCTTATTGTCCTATAACAATGTTAAGAAATCCCAATAAAACGCTTTAGTGGTTTTCTGTCGTCGTTTTGTCATTGTGCTTAAATTAAGATTTAAATAAATGTTCACTATTCAGGGGTTTCTCTATTTAAAAGTAATGAAAATGTCCCCGTTCCCAATAAATCGTCTGCTATTGGGAGGTGTCCGTTAGGGGAGGTTATGGGCTACATATATGTATAAACATATTAGTTATGTATGTTTAAAAGATAAAATAATTTTACTGTCTAGGATTTTGGATGGCTGACATTATTTAATTTTGAATACCTAGTGTAACACATCAAAGTTTAAAAATATGAATATAGTGTATTATGTTTCAGAGGAATGGAAAACATTGATATTGAAGAACAACGATTGGTTTTTGTCCAACGTAAGTTATAAATCAGATGAGTCTAAAAGACTAAAAAATAAAAAATCATTTTATAGCGAAAAATTCTCATTTAAAACTTTGATTTTGGACTAAAAAATTGTAAGAGTAAATGATATTAAAATATCATTATTAGACATTTTTTTTTAATTATATTAATTATTTTTAAACTTTTTGTACTTAAAATATGCGTTAATACATAATTTTAGATTTAATTATACTTAGTGTTAAGTATAGTAATAGCATTATTAATATTATTGAGTATTATGTATTAAAAAATAAACAAAACAAAAAAAAAGGATTGATTACATTCATTCGTATATTTTTAAGAAACCAAATGACATTATTTGCAATGACAAAGCATTTACCTGAATAATTTAGTGAAATTCAACTTGGGAGTTGAATATTTAAACAAATGCGGGTCATATTCTTAGTCTCGGTATTAAATGGAATATAAAATAATAACAATAAGTTGTACAATATTATTTTAATAACTGATGGCACCATGTTCAATGGCAATATTGAATAATAAATCTAACGATAATAAATAATTTATAACAAATAAAATATGAACTGTAAAACGATAATTGGTAATATTTTATTTTATCGGCAACAACGTTTCACGCCATACATGAAAAATCAATAGTAAAAAAAACCAAAAACGATAACATAATATATAATAAAAACTTGATGATTAGTAAAACGAAGTATATTTTATACATAATTATAGGATTGTTATCGATTAACTGTTTGTATTCACTAAGTTGTTTACTAAAAAACGTCATTGAGCTTTGTATTGTTGTGGTGTCTCATAAAATGGCTTGCAATTTCTTTTTCGCGATTTTAGAGTAAACAACGTCGATGGGCTTTGTCTTGTCATACAGGGCTGGTGCTTGGAAAATGATCAAGGCTGTGCCAATGAGACAAGCACATGTGAATATCCAGAGGAACAACCTGTCCAAGACCATAGCTACGTATTGCCAGTCTTCAATGATCTGCAAAAGAAGTAAACGTTAACATTGGTACAGTACTATTGCAGGACGCATTATTATCGAATGCAAAATAATTATTTTATACCACTAACATATTATTATAATATCATTATATGAATGGATGGTTTTATAAAATTTGAATACCCAATGAAATAATTTTTCTAGCCGCACGGCCGAATTGGAATTTTAACGATGAGTACTAGGATTAAAATTAAGAAAACCATTCGAACAAAAAATCATCTGTTAAGTTGAGTAAGTAACGATGATAAGGTATACAAATATCGATAATATAATATTGTCATGTAGCTAACTGTACAGTGGGGGGACGTTCTCAAAAATCACACTGTCTGCTTGCAAAACGACTCTCTCATACTCTTTTCCGTCACTTAACCACCTAAATTCAAGATCATACAGTTCTCTGCTCAGGATCATCGGAGTTTCTACGTTGCAGGTTTCAAATGTAAAAGTCACGACCGACATATTTCGCATGCCGTCGCACAAGTCACTCACCTCGTCGAACTTATCTTGGTTCTTGACGTGTTGAGCAATGAACTTTGCATCCTGGATGGTCTGCATGGCCGGGTCGTGCCTGGGCTGCTGGTCCACCGGACACCCGTGTTGGTGCTGGTGATGGTGGTGATGGCTCTCGAACGTCGGGCTGGCCAGACCGTCGTCCGTCGTGGTCGTCGGGCTGAACATGTCGTCGTACTCGTCTTCAGCGTCGAGCTCGATCGCGTCCTCGTCCTCGTCCGACGCCATGTTCACTACCGTGTCGTTGGACCCGGTCACGGTGCCCGCACCGGCGCTCACGCCTGCGCCTCCGCTCACACCACCGACGCACACGGCCCTGGCATCGATGAACCTGGAGGATGGTAGCGGCGGCGGTACATCATAATCGAAACTGTAACCGCGGTTGTAGCCCAAGTATTTATCGATTTCAGACGGCACGTCGAACACGCCCGACAGGATTTCGCCGTGCTTTTCGTCATCGTCGTCGTCATCCTCGTCGATCGAGTCTCCCTTCTTGGGCCGCTCAATGAACAACACCTTGGGTAGGATCTGAATGAATAGCTTCACCACCCATGGTCTCATCTTGTGTGTTACCGGTGACCTGTGAAATTGAAATAATCCGTCTATTGTATTATGAATTTTATGATAGGTATAATATCATTACAGTCGTGCTATTGACTTGACTATGTACATGTAGACAGAGTAGTTTAGGACAGATGACAGCTGTCAACTGTTATCAACTGTTACCTTCCACCAGATAATATTGTTGTTGTGACTTTGTCTATGGCCAGTACCTCGTGTTACATATTGTATTATATTTGTTATTATTTTGTTAGGTATGATCGTACTAACCACACCTTGTATATACAAACACGTTGTTGAAACGACAATAGAAGTCCCTTGTTATAACCATCGTGTTATTAATTTATTAGAGTTATTTAACACACCCTATACTCCTATCATAATTATTAAGTTTTCCTGCATATCGTAAGTACCGCGTGGCCAGCTGGCGAAATTGGTTCAATAGCTCCGCGACGGTGCGACGACATGTGCTATTGTTTTTACTTTTTACTATTTATTGATATTATAGTAATTATGATTTTGTACACAGTAGGCGAATATATTAACGATTTGAGTTTATCATTGATTTTAAAACATAATTCTGTGTTAATATTATACAATTAAATAATAAAAGTCGTCTTATTTTTATTTAATGTTTTTAAAATATTCATAGTTTTTTATTTTTAATTTTTACTGTTGCTATTTTATATTTTAGTTTTTAAATTACTTATAAGTATCGTTTTATAATCTATTTAACACCATTCATTACTGATGTAAGAATTAAAAACTATCTATCAACTAGATGATTTATTGTTGAGTATTATATGATGTTATTAGAAATAATGATGTACTAATGTTCTGCGTCTAGGGTAGTAGCAGAGTCAAACTAGCTCTCGTCGCCATCCCACGGCTGAATGGATGTAATAGAGAAAATTGCACAGCGTAACGTTACAGGAAATACCAATACAATTGCCAGCATCACGAAAACGACGTGCGTATGCAATGTATATTTTATTAAATACCGTGATCGTCGTACTACAGAGCACCATAAAAGATAAATACGTAAATTACGTGCGCGTTTACCTGAAGTTAACGTTCAGAACGGCTACGGTGACAAACACGGACAACGTGACTAGGACCATGGTGAAGAGTAAGTATTTGCCCAACAAGGGCACGGTGAGCGACGTGGGCGGTATGATCTCGACCAGTAGCAGGAAGAACACAGTGAGCGAAAGTAATATCGATATGCACAGCGACACCTTTTCGCCGGACTCAGACGGCAGGTAGAACACTAACACGGACAAGAACGATATGCCCACGCACGGTATGATCAAATTGACCGTGTAGAACAGCGTCTTCCTCCGAAGCGTGATGTTGAAGAATATGTCCAGGTACGGTTCCTCGCAACAGACGTAAAACTTTTCGTGTCTCACAGCCGGTACGCCCATGATGTCCCACTCAACCGATAGGTAATAGTCCTGCAGGTCGATGCCCACTTCGATTACGTCCGAGTCGGGCGCCTGTGAAATGTGCCGTAAGTCCATCTGCGTGGGCGTGAAAAATACGAGAAAGAAAATTAAAAAAAAAAAAAATAATAATAAAATAAAAAAAATTGTCAATATTAAACTACGTAGGTACGTTATTATGCCATACGAGCTCTACTTAAATGTGACACGTTTGTAGTGAATCAAAAAAAAAAAAAAAAAATTACATGAAATATATAATATCAACAATAATATTACATAATAATAATAATAATAATAATATCATCAACTGCGGTGCCGACGACGATTCACGTCCAATAATCAATACAACTGTGGTTCAATAGATTAAACTCGTACTTTAGTATGACTACTTTTCCCGTGACTGTCTCTCCCAAGAAAATTACCTTTTCACAAACCGACAAAGAAAACATATTTTCGGACGTACATCACGCCGAGAGCACCACTCGGCCGCTTTCGCTAGCGCGGTTTCTCACCATGTATCCGTCGTACGTCCATGATCCAAACTTCATAGAACACGTCTGCTCGTCGAACGGAAAGTACTCGACGTTTATTTCACAGAATGATTTGTAAATGGCTGGCGGTTTCCAAACGACTTTTCCCGTGTAGTGTAGTATTGCTTTCGTCATTATTGTCACTTCGTAATTGCCATCAGCGCTGTAATTACATTAATAAAATAAGGTTTTTGTTAGTGTTTCACAGAATGGTTAAGGTTTCTGATAGAGAAATAATTGACCGAAAATATTCGTTTAAATCCAAATGTCGGACATCAAACTAAAATGATTTTAGGAGGTTAAATATTTCTATATTAAATAATTAAATAGATTTCAGAAGTTTATTATATAATGTTTTGAAAACAAGAAACATATGTTCGTTATTATGTTCAAAATAATAATAAATATTTCATAATTCTAATAAATATTTGAAATTTTATAGAAATATTAATCTACGTATTTTAAAAACAGTACAGTAAGACGAATATTGTGACGATAATTTTATAATACACATATAACGCTTGCCCTATACTCTAATTTGAAAAGTGCTTTATGTTACTCTAAATATTATAATAATTAGTGATAAAAATATTATGTTAATATATTTTGTACATTTATAATGACGTATCACGAATTACGAATATATCGTCGGTGTGTAGATACTCCAATCTTATGTGTTAAGTGACAAAAAATCTACAGCAACGGGTTGAAGATGAAGAGATTTTAGAAACATTAAAATCATTAAAATATAATATATGAGCTATATAAATTAATTACTTAACGGATACCTCACCCTCTTTAATTAAAAATATAAGGGTAATATTTCTGTGTACCATAATATCCCGCACTGACCGTGTTTGATTTAATATTCTAATTTTACTGATTACTTGATTAGATACGATATAAACATTGAATAAATGTATAGTGTTTGTTTTCATATTGTAATTTGTAAGTGTTGATATTAATTTTGTAAACATGATGATTAACGAGAAAAAAATCATAAACACAGAAACCGCGGTACACGGTATAGTAGAGAAATATTCTGCGTGGTTATAAGTATCAATAAATCGGTGACCTATACTATATTATATTTAGTTTTAGTTCTATTAGCGTAGTCTTGACCCACACCGTTTACAAGAAATAGACTGTTGTATTAAATACAATGTGTATCCAAAGACATAAGGCTAAGAGTCGTTTTATACAAAGAATTGCATTATAATTAGTGCGTTTTACTAGCTGTGCGTGTATCAAAATTTCTTATTTGGTATCAAAATAATAAAATTATGATAACGGAAATCATAATCTACATAGTAAATCGTACAATTTATTTCCATTCGTTTAAGTAAATTTAAATATAATATTCAAATATCCGTTCAAACACAGAAAAAAAAATAGTTACTCTCGCTTAAATTCGTTTATATTACATTTGCTTCGAATGCTACTCTTAGACTGTGGTATGAAAAATGTTATAATTTCCTTTATACGATAAGTAAAATGAATATTTTTTTTCATCAATGATGCTTTCGAATTTAATTATATTCCTAGTATACATATTCAAAATTATTTGATAGAAATGTGTGACATCAGCTAAGTGTACAAAACTATACATGCAAATTATCAGAGTTTGAAAAGTACGAATTTACTCCATGATTATCACCTCTTGAGTTCAGTTGAATCAGTTCTGGTCCTTGTAGTGTCTTGGTAATAATTAGTATAACATAATATTAGTTTTATAGTACATATAAGGTATATATATCTTAATTATTGTACATTTCTTGATTTATTTGACATTTTATTAAATTATTAGAGTACAAACATCTATAGTTCTCGCTTCTCAAAATTGTCCTAAAGTATAAATTATGTATTATTGTATAGAAATGACAGTTATATTTAAAAATTCAGTTGTATATGTTTTACTGTTATTAAAAATTACACATAATTCATTAAATAGGTAATACATTAATTTCAGAGATTTATATGAATTTAATGAATAATTTAAATATTTGCTGTTGCATTGTAATGTGCCTAACCTAACTTAATTATTTATAAATAATTTAACCATTATGTCATTATTTACAAAATCAAGAAGACAATTATTATCATTTTACATTTTTTATCATAAGTCTATCACATATTATTAGTCACGTACTACTCTTAAGAATAGTTAAGTCAAAATTAAATTGGTGTAGATAATATTTAAATTTTTATAATTTTAAAGTTGCATATCAAACCTACTTGTTGTACAATACTATGTCTGGCAACCAAATATGCTCAGATGGTACGTGTAGAGTATCTACTCCTCCGTAATCTTCGGGGTTCCATTTAAGTTTATAGTCATTCCATTCCTAAAAAAAAATAAATATACAATACAATTTAAACATAAAATATGTTATACAATTCTTGTAGATATTTTTTATTTCTTACTTGCTCAACCCATACGTTTGTTGTCATAATTTGGTTTCTTAAATTCTAGGAAAAATAAAATTTATATTAGTTTAATTCGCGATAATAACTGCATATTTTTAATTTTATTTAAGTGTATTCGTGCGTAAGCATGATTTAAATCTAAAAAATACCTATTGTCTATATTTTATTTTATTTTTTATTTTTTTTTTTTTTTAATAGTAATTTATTTAATGTTATTGTCACATGTTGTATTATTATTTTGTAGAATAGATTAATTTAAAGTTTGAAATGATTAATTATTAGTTCTTTGGAAAACAGACAGAGTTATTAATTCCTGCTGTCTACTGAAATTCATATCAGTACGAGTCACAAACGTCAAACAACTTTCCTGAAATGATTAAACGTTGACGTTGAGAAATATTGACATGAAAATATTATATACTTCAAATTATTTTTTAAACATTAGTAGTAAGAACTGGCCAAATGTATGAAAAACGCTCAAATAACAACGTTATAATAACATTTTTTTTTTAAACGTTAATAATGGGTTTACGCAATCTTAAAATAAAATAACATAGGTACTATAACAATAATTATTATAATGCTATTTTTGTATTAGTCGAATTACTTATACACATTTTTATACGCATATTTAATAATTTACAATAATGAAATAACAAAATAATATACGGTATAGCATTAATCAAAAAATATAATAACATTGTACTATAAAATGTGTATATTTAGAAATATTATTGTAACAATACATTGTATTATTTCATGAATTGACGTTATTTTATCGTTTGTCCAGTATACAGGTCCAGTCTGCGTATAGTCGTTCACAAGTTAAACTGTGCTAATGTTATTATTTTAAAAATCCTTCTTTCCTCCTATCTCACCACCACTTCTTTAATTTCCAACATTCTATGAACGTTAGCAAAACCATGCTGTGAATTGTGATTGAGGCGATTTATCAGAGAAATATTACTTTATACAGTAGGTACAAGTTGGATTATATTATTTAAAATATTAATATATTATCTATATATATATATAGACATTTTTGTTTTAAATTTGTCAATTATTGAAATTGATGATGAACTAAGTAAAAGTGAAAAAAGTCTAAATTAAAATGTGATGTATTCGTTTATCAAACCAATGTAAACATTATCATGAACTGCGCGAAAAAACGTAGAACATTGATTTATACGGCAGTGGAATATTTGAACAATTTTCAAATTCACTTATTCCCCATTACTTGCTCACCGTGCTACTAATTATTACAGTTTTGTAAACGTGCAAATCAAAAATGAATTAATTATATCGAAGCAAATGGTTGAATTCTAAACCAATTTATTTTCATTCGGTTCTTTGGGATTAGACAATTTAGAAATCACGAAATAATAGAAATTAAGTAATTACCTATATTAAAAATGTGTAAATAATTAATGTACGGCACTTCTACTTTTTTGTGACAGTAGGTATACAATACTAAATAGAACTTGCTACCACGATTATTCATTATAAGAGTGACACTTACTACTTCGATGATTTGTGACAATTTTAGACCCATTTTTACCGTCAACCGGTCAGAGTTGTTGCCGACGGGTCTGATGAGCCTGTTGTAGTTACTGAGCAGATCGTCATACAGTCGTTTAGCGTCGATGCTACCGTACACGGATGCATACGGCATAGCCAATTGCCCAACAATGACCGCAGCGAATATCGCACAAATAATCTTCATTACTAAATTATAAAATTTTCATTAAAATTGTGTTTTTATGGTTATAACTATGATTAAGAGGTGCCTATTATCAATATCGGTTTGGTTTCAAAACAGGATTTTAAATGTTCCTATTGAAATGGTAAAATTGCTTTTAGCACAATAATTTTTTCAAATTCAATAATGTATTAAATGAGTGACTATACATAGTAATACGCTGTATAATAATACTATATTTATATTTTAAGTAACGTGAAAATGTATTTTGATGACATGATATTGATTTATTTGATTATAGAATAATAGTATGCAAAGGTCATTCATTTTGTTGCATAATATAAATACAGAAAATACAAGGTACAAGTAGGAATCTTAAACTTATAATACTTATTGTATATGTGTGAGTAAAAAAAAAAAAAAAAATAATAAGCAATAACAACGTTGAGTCTAATAGCATGCAGGTGGGATCAATCAAAATATAATAAATGACCAAAACACGCATCATAATATTATATTTGATGTGATCATATTTATTTTTTAGCGGTGAGCGTGGGTGTACTGCATATGTTGAAATAATCCACGTATACATGACGACATAATATAGAAAGTGTAATGTTATTATGTGTAAATAAATTTAGGGAATTATTGATATAATTATTATTATGCTTAACAAATAAAAAAAAAAAATAAAAAAAAATATGTGATCAAACCACCAAGGATTTGCATAAGCCACCATGTAACCATGGTATACTAGATACAATAGAATAAAGTTGAGAACTCTAAATGACTATGTAGTACTATAACAGGTTCACTATAATATATATATATGTATAAATATATTTTAAATACATGTTAAAGTACGTTTTGTTTGTTTTATTTTACAAACATCTAAGGCTATATGTGAGTTAATAAATAATTATTAATTAGTTAAATTTAATTTAAAAAATAAACACTTATTAACAACAGTATTAAAAACTAAATTTAACTTATTAAAATCTCAATAAATATTTAGTGTTTTAATAAAACGATAGGCTTATCTATGGGACATTCATTCATAGGGATCATATGATCTAGCTATGTATTGTATATTATTTTTTGTTGAAATAATAATAAGTTCAAAACAATTTATACAGGTACTTTGAATTTTTTCACTTAAAATATACTTGTAATATCTTATTGTTTTTTATTTATTTTTTTGTTTGGTTAGTTATGTAAATAATCTTCTTTTTGAATTTGTGTTATAAAAACTGTTAATTATTTTAACATATCAATTTAATATTATGAAAATTGACTTTAATGTAAATTGAAAATCTAAATAATATTAAAAAATAACGTTTGAACAGACGAGTTAATAAAGTTGTATTTAAGTACTCAATCATACATTTGCTAAAGTAACCACCAAATAATTGACCGAAAAACTTATTAATTATAATGAAAAATAAAATTGATTGTTTATTTGTTTAAACAATCAATGTGGTGATTAAAAATCAAAAATAACCAACTACTTAAATACTCTATAATAATAATTGATAGCCTAATAATATAAACGTGTATAAAACTCTTAAATAGCGATAAAAAATAAATATATTTTTCATCGATTATAATGTAAGTACCACGATAAATTAAACGTTAGTGAGTTTTGGTCACGGACGAAAATGACGATAAGTGATTGTACACGATGTGCTTGAAGTTCAATGGCATCATTACCGCCGTCGACATGATCGTAGGTAGCTACTTATACTATAATAAGCACCTATAGCACCCAACACAGACACTCGTCAAAACGTGTTTGCGCGCCGTTACAATAATGTTCTAACGAATGAATAGATTGATGATAATGTTATAACATTAAAATATACGATACACTTGGATCACCGCGGTTTTCATACTATTTTTAATACCAACTCTAAAACATCGTCGCGATGGCATGCAAAGGGAAGCCCCGTTTCTAAGGACTGTGCGTTACGTATCATGTTATACTACCTATATTATATATCGCGATGGCATGGTGCTCGAATGGAAACCTCGCGAGTGCTAAGTGCAACGGTTGTGTACATAACATAATAACATAAGAGCAAAGAAAAAAAGTAAAACAACTCCATATCATAACCGGCGCGCATACGTTCATCCTTTTGTGCGGCGCAAAAGCGTTCGTCACAGAAGTATTGAGGAAACGCGGGTGTGGCGGTCGGGGTAATCGGTTATAAGGGTTGCAGGGGTAGTAGAAGTGCCAGTGGTGGTAGTGGCGGCGGTGGTGGCAGCGGTAGTGTGTCAAGAGGCAAATGGTCCATTGCAGGGTGGAGAGAGACCGAGACGTGGAACGTGTATTATATCGATCGACCTTGTTTTCAACGGCTTAAGCGTTCGCGCTGCACGCGCGGCGCTCGGTTTTGGTTTTGCATGAATGGTCCCATTGGCAAAAAACCGGCGGTGACATCGAATCTCCGTGGACTTTCAAAAACCGACATATTCGACGGTAAATGATAGAATTTTAGAATGTTTTTGTTGTTTTAGTGCTCTTACTTTTTTTGAGACGGCAATTACACCGGAAATCCGCGATGACGTCGTCTTTGTCGTCCTCCTCCCGGACGCGGTATCACAGCGCCTATGAAAACGATGACCGCACATTAATCGTGCACGTTGGCGCGTGAATCATGTTACGATTTTTCGTGTTCGTCCCGTACCCAGGGCGTCTGGGCACGAGTTGGCTGTTTTCGCGTGTGTGTTTGGGGCGTGAGTGTAACACTGATCTCGGCTAGAGCTCGTATGCGATTCATCTGGTGCTAGTAGCGGCGGCAGCGGCGGCGCGATAGGGGTGCGGGTCGGGTCGAACGTCCACGAACAGGACCGACGCGCGCGACGTCGACGGCGGGCGGACCAGCGTAAGTCGATAAAAACGGTGAACGCGAACGCCTTTGGTGCCGGGATTTTGGCCGTTAATGACCACCGATCGTTTTAAACGGTTGATAACGAAGAGGGCGCAAAGCGCGTAGGTACATCGAATATTATAGATACTATAGATGTATTACGTGAGTATAATTACATACGCGTGAAATCTGATACGTTCTAAACGGGAAGAATTGACAATAAAAAGTAATGAGTGTTTTTTTTTTTTTTTTTT